CATCACAAAGAAATACACAGTCCTCTTTCTCTAATGAGAAAACTTCAGTATGTCATAATGCCTAGAAACTTAAAAGATATTTGAACAACAACAAAAAAAAGAAGTATAATTGGTATTGGGTCCCATATAGACAAATTACAGCTCTAATCCAATTGCTAAACTGCCATATGCTCTGTTCTAAGGAATCAGACAGTTCCTTACCATGACTCTCCAGAAATAACTCTGCTTTGCAGTTGCCAAGCTGGGCATTTAAAATGTTTCACAAAGGTCTCGTGTCATTCATTTGGTGGAAAAGGACATCACATAACCATAGTCCTTGCAAATTCATCCAATTCTTATTTTTGAGACCAAATGTTGAAAGAAAATAACAAACGTGGTAACAGGACTCTGGAAATGTGAGTAACGGCAAAGTCCCACTGCAGGTATTTATAGGAAGTACTAATGAAACCTAGAGAAAAGTCACACATCTCCAGGTTTGCCCCCTAATTTACTAATTTCAAGACAAATATCTATAATACATACAAAATACACTCGATCAGGCAACAGCAACTTTCCAGTCTAAAACTGGGATCAGTATTCATTCCTTGCCCACACAGAAGCCCTTAGAGATGCATCAGGTAACAGACACCCATTCTTTGACAGAATGTCCTCTTCTCTTAGGGATTTCAAAAGAATTCCCTCCCAACCCCCAGCATGAACGTTCTCTTTTTATGAAGTGTATATCCCAGCAGGCCTAAAGCAATACCAGACTAAAGAGAGGTATAAGCATTAATTGATAACTAGTCAAAGGCTATTCAGGTGTTGTATGTTAGACTGCTGTCAAAAGATGAGAATGGCCCTAAAACCAGGGAAAAATCTGAGTCTTTTGCTCCCCTCAGTGCCTGGAGCAGAGGTATCAATTCCCTGTTCCTCTTTGCTTTCTCCAGAGTCTATCCTGACACATGGCCAGCTGCCAAGGGACTCTGGATCCACAGCACAGGTGGAGAAATCTTCTCTCTGTGCCTGGGAGACCTTCAGATGAGGCAAAGTGGTGGTCTTCAGCCACCTTCCAGGGAATACTTAAGGCCCAGGACAAAGGTGGACACCAACAATGCTGGATACACACAACTCTTCTCATGGGTCTCTTACAGGAGAAAGAGCCCAGCTTCAATGCTTTGCCTTGCTCAAACAACCACACTCATGACCCTTTATGGTCACTGGATGGGGTGTGACAGCATCAAAGCAGGCAGCAAACAGTGCTTTGCATTGCACTCTGAGGTCTTTGGAGGAATCTGCATCTTCCGTTAATTGCATAAGGACTGGTAGTTACACTGGCCCACTTGAAAAGGACCCTTGCTGCAAATCAAGTGTCTCTCAGGGCCCTGGTCACTTGCTTCTATGTTTATGTTTTCTTTTAAACAAGCATCAGGTTTTTGATACTTCAACTGAAATACGGGAGAAAAAAAAAGGTATTTTATCAGCATTTAGAAGTAAAAATATCCCAGTGAAAGGAAAGCAATTGAAAGCTTTCTCCTTTCTTCCAAACACACAAGAAACAAAATTCTCCTCAAATACTGTAACTTTCACAACACAGTTCAACGATATTCTCTCTTTACCTAGTTGCTTAAAACGTGACTGAAGAGTGCAATAAGAACTCAGGAACGTCTGGCTGGATTAATTAAATCCCTGTTTTTCATTCTTATGTACTTCACATTTCCCAGTATCAAATCCTCTCTGTCACAGTATGAACTTTCTTTCAAAAGCATGCTCCTCTGAACTCATAGAATTAATTCAGCTCATGTATTGTATGCATTTACATATCACCATATCTGATCAGTCTATAGCATAGAAACTTTGCATAACTGTCTATCTGCATATCTGCACATGCAAAATGTACCCTCTCTGAAACTACTATGAACACGGAGGTATATTAAGAGCCTTAGATTCGGCCTATCTGCAAAAAGCTGAGGAAGCCATGCCAAGACAAAGCAGAAAACTTGCACCATTCTCCTCTTCACATTGAGTTAATAGGATTGTTTTACAGGACAAAAGAACAAAGCATAAATGTTTAATTCTCAGGACATGCAAACACTGTATTGTTTTCCTGTTAGTAAAGGTGACAATCCTGTTCACACTTTTATTTGCTATCCAATTAGTAGGTTAACACACGTACAACTTGCCACCTCTGCACTTGAGGAGACAGTTTAGATGAGATGGGCTTTCTCAACTTTAGGAAGGGCGAGAATACTCTGGGTTGCAGGAGAAGCACATACATGTTATTTTTTCCACAAAGTCAGGTCACAAAGTATAGTTCTGCTGTTCACTGGGACAGAAAACATAATTTGCAAGACTTTAAATCGGCAACACAATTCTTAAAGCTAATTTTATTCTAATGGTATTATTTCATAAATAAATACTGAGAATTAGTATTTAATTGTTTCAACTCGAGATTTTAATTTTTCACCTATCAGTATGGGAAATCTCTTGGCAGCTCTGGAGGCTGTATGAAAATTGAATTTTTTGTTTAATTATAAACTGATTTAACTTTAATAGTGGAGGCTTTAATTGAAATATTTTAATTAAGTGCTTGAAGCAACACAATGCCAGCTTTTTGCTGGAGACTAGCTTATCTAACAGTGTGGAGTTTCACACTTACCCAGCTCCTGTGCTGTAACATACAGACTCCTATAGAACCAGTCGTAACTGCTGTTTTGTCCTGGCTAATGGCATGTAAAAAGACAACAGCGAGTGCATTCAACTACACACCTTGTTAGACCATGTTAAAAATATGGGCAGTAAAAGGGGGTGGTTAGGACTGTTTAAAAATAATTAGTGAGTGAAATAAGGATAATAGCTGCAGCATCTTGTTCAAAATGGGATTTCCACAGATACCCTTCCTGCTTTCTGGCAACCCTCCCTGGAGGAGTAAGTGACAGACAGGGCTATCACATTGTTCTCTGATGGACAGCCAGACTGTGGCAAAACATAAACTCAGCAGGGAATGCTGCTCTCTTCTTTTCCAGACAGGGTATCAAAAATTGAAAGCACTTGGGAGGTTCATAAATAGTGATATCAACACTATCAAGATCTCAGGAGTGCAGGGAGGAGCAAGGGTTGACTGCTTTTTAACAGATTAATTTCCGCCTTTGAACATTTCAGAAACAACACAGTCTGTCTCTGGGGCCCCTCCTGATGAGATGAACAAATAAAGAAATCGGATTTAGAAGCAGAGAGGAATCCGACAACAGCAGCAGCAGAACTTCATACTTTTAAAACTATCCAAAACCTCTGAAGCCTTCTGGAAAGAGGGGTCAGGAAGGTGCTATTATTCTGAAAACAAGGGCGAGAATAGCAAAACAGTAACACTGATCACCTGCACAAAATCTACCCACAAGTATCCACATGGCTGCTTTGAGAACTAAACTATGAAACAGTTCATCTGTTATCATTGTGTTGGCTAAAAAAACTGAGCCACCTAAGTTTTCAAGTATTAATAACTATGGAAACTGACTTTGCAGTATAACAAACGAGTTAAAACATTTATACTTCATTGCAGATCACAGCAAAAGAGTTGCTTGCAGAGAAACCACAGGAGAACCAGAAGAGGCAAGGAAACTGTTACAAATAAAAAGATACTACAATATATGACTAGGTTAACAAGATTTGTGGGGAAAAATGTTCCATGCATTGCAATAACAGGAAGATACTGTTATTTAGAAAGCCTTCTTCCTTACTACTAAACAGTGCCCCCATTGATCAAATAGCCAAAGATCAAACAAGAGATAACTACAACAAAGTTCCACTGTATTTGACAGTGGATTAATTAAATTACAGAAGAACATACTGATTCACACAGCATATCGTGCCTCCGGCAGAAAACACTTAGGAAGAAAAGGGAGAAGGACAAGTACTTAGCGCAATTATGTAAAAGAGACAGACAAAATGTCATTTGGGAAAACAAGTAATGGCTGGGTCAAGTAACTAGGTAAAGTAACACTTGAAAACGCAAGGGTGGAGCACTGCAGGGTGTTTCTTGCCCTATTTCTCTCATATTCCTGTCCTGTACTGGCTAGTACAATTCATTTTGACTGTCTGAAGGAGAAAAGCCTGCCAACTAATCTTAGAAGCCAAGGAAGAGAGATTAACAGAGGAAATGAGTAGGTCTGGGCTTCAAAATCCACCTTCTCCAATTTCCCCTTCTTCCATCTAAAGTGCGTAACAGAGCTGTTATGAAACTGCATGTTGCGGTGGTAAAAAAACATTTTATTCTTTTAAAACCCCCCGAGTGAAGAACATGCCCAAAATTGTGCCTGAAAGCTGAAGAGGCTTGCTGGAACTGGCAGGATAAAAAATTCAGGAAAATTAAGAAATTCTCAGCTGGTGGAGATCACTTTAGCTCCTTTAATCCACACTGCTATGCTGATCCAGACCAGCTGAAAATCTGAACCTTCTATTGTGTTGTGCTATTTTTAAGTAGCTAAACTCCAGCCTTGAGTACAATTGTTCAATCCTATGACATGGTCCTGAAAGACAAGTACAGTGCAAGTGAAAAAGAGCCATCACCAACATGTTCCAGCCACTCACAGAATCCTTCATGTGCCTGTCAAGTCTTATCAGTGCTATCAAATTACCTACAGCTGTTCCCAAGTCTCTGCTGGGAGCTACACAGCAAACCCCACAAAAGTGGAAGCCTTTCAGCTTTAAACATTCCCTCCTGTTAAAAATACTTAAGCCACCTGCATTTTCTATTAGTCACCTTGGTGGTCTGTAACATTATCACTTTTGTGAAGGCAAGACTTAACCCCAGCTTTTCTGTTGCATGTCATAACCTCTTCTTCCATTACTTACTCTCCCTAAGGAAATGAAGCATAGCATTTCTTGCCATCAAGAAATTTTCCTGGTTTCCATGGTGAGGAAAAAATTCCCTGGTAGCACCTAGATTTATTAAATCATACAAGCCCAAACTTTGAGAACAAAGCTGGGTCTGTCAGAATGGCTGATGTCATCTCTCAGACACTCACCAGGGTGACAATGGCACATTCAGCAGTCAGTTGAGCAGCACTAAACAACGTCCGAACAAAGCGGTAAATCTGTTTCTGCTCCGGGTCATGTTTGTCATAGTCTGGTGGCACTTCGGATTTCTAAGGAAGAAATACTTCCAAATAGGTGACTGAAACAAAATGAAGCAGACAGAAAGAAAGACAGTTCACATGAAAGGGAAGAAGAGGAAGATGAACTTACCGAAAGGGGATGAAGGTTTTCATCAAAAATATCTAAGAGCATTCTTCCGTCTGTATCCCTAAAAAGCATTAAAACCAAAGTAGTGTCATTATCTGAACATGACAGCACGCAGCTCTCATAGACACAAATATATTGCTAAAACTCCAGCACTCTCAATGCTGCAAGATGCTTAGAAACACAGCCGAAATACGATTTTCAAACAGAAGCTGGACCTGTTTTGCCACAAAATTCACATGTAACATGAAACCCGTACTATAAAGTTGCTGAAATTTTCCATTTTCAATGCCCAAGACACATAGCTTTTGTACTCTCTACTGTGAGGTTTGTTCACCGTAGTAAGAAGTACTACTATAAACATAAAATCAGCCCAGCTTACTCTCCTTTTCTTAACTATTTTTGCAGTTATTTTTTAGTTAATACATATATAATTCACCTTTTTCTTTTACTTGGAAAATCCTATCCTGTTCTCATAATGATTTCTGAAAACAAAAAGGAGTATATACAAAAAAAAAAAAAAAAAGAAAACCCGACAAAATAGTACTCCTATTCATTGGTTTTATCTGCTATTTCTCTCTCAGATCCCTGTTGCTCAAAATCAGCATGCAAGTTTCTGCAAGTTCACAAGCCTAACATCCAGTATGCAATGTAAGATCTTGCTGCGTGTAATCTTGGCAGGAACACTGACAGTCACAGAAGTGAGTGGTGTAACAGTACCAGTTAGAACTGGACACTGTGCACAGATGCATCCATGTGACCTCCTTCATACAATCCCATCTTTCTTTATAGCATCCTGGTACTCTGGTCATAGAGTTCTTAAGAGAGAAGTCACTGAATATGTCTTCTGTCTTTACTCAATAGCACATGTCTCAGAGCATGCAAACATGAGTTTTACAGTGGATTGATGTCTACAAAACGTATTTATTAGCAGTTAACATTTAAACGTCAACATCTGAAGATGACATTTATTCTGCTATAATGCCTCTTAACTCTGGAAATAAGCACGTTGGGTTTTTTTAAGGATTACCTAAACTAAAACAAACAGACTGAGATAATTACTACAAAATTCCCAATCGCCAAGGAATATAACAGAGACTCTTGCCCCTGCATAAAAAGGCTAGTATCTTAATACAGAAGTAGTCTCACTGATGTGCTAAATAAACTGTGGCCCTTCACAATGAGGAGAAAGAAAGAAATAATTTCCTATGTTATTTCTTCATGCTGTAGCTGCTGCATGATATGAAGGTACATTTGATTGTCCTCAAGCTATATGAAAAAAAAAAACATTAGAACAAGTTTACATTATTATCTTTATAAAATGAACCATCTACAAATTGATCCTAAGCATTTTTCATGGTTAGTTTGTTGGGGTTTCTTTTGTTTATTTATTTAGCAAATTCACCAATACTTATGCATTCCTCAGAAAACAAGGTAAGTGCAGACTTTACCACATGTTGAACAGCTAAGCAGAACAACAACAAAAAAAAAGCTGCAGAAAGCCAATAATCAATATAACAATGACAGGAGATACTGGGTAAAGAAGGAATAATAACTACAATGTCACAATCAAATTGAAAGTGGGAAACATATGAAGAAATATTCTATTTCATGTATAGTTTCTCAAAAACAATGGGACTAGTAAGAGTTTGGAGTATTAGGAAATAATTTAGTCTTAAGCCTACTGTGAAGGAGAAAATGAACAACTAAATGTTGCCTGAAAACAATTCTTTGGCAAAGCAAGTGCTTGACTCGTTTTCTGTCAAAATCAAACTTGAGTCTTCATAAGAGTTACAGTGGTTTCTTACTCCCCACCCCCCATAACGAACCAAAATCTACCACATACGTCAACAACTTCCTTTTAGCCTATAATGTCAGGAAATAGAACGTACGTTTTGCTATTGCTGTTTCATCAGCAAGTACATCTGAATGCTGTTATCACATTGTCCCTTCATTCCAAAATTCAAAAAAACTGAAGACAGAACAGTCACTTCACATCCTTCATTTCAGAGTCATTAATTGATGATCACAAGCCAGCTCCAGCACTGCTGCTGAGACCATCTGTCCCGAGCACAACAGAGGGAATGTTTACAACGCACCTTCCCACCCGGGGCAGCAACCAGACCTGCCTGAATAAATCACCTCTCCATCCTAAAAGCACACGCAGATAGCAAGTTTCCCAAGAAGGTAACATTCAGAATGTGTCTGTCTCCAAGACACTGTCTTGGGACTCTTTCTTTTATAAAGTTTAACCTCTCTGTCTATTAGTTGTACGTCAAATTTGCATCAAGTTCTGTAAGAACACAAGTGGGCATATTTTACCGCAGACAGAAATCAGCTCCATGACAATATGCAAAAAAGCAAGTCTGGTGTACTTTGGCTCTGGACTCCTCCTGCTCAACTCTGTGCTCTTACTGAAGTTCCTCACCCTTTGTAGTTCCTAATCTGCTTTTTTCTCTTTTATATAGTTGGCATGAAACTTAATAGAGCACTTAAAAATAACTTACTTCCACATAACTTTAGAGTCTGATTATCTTTGACATCTCTCATTTAGTCAAGCATAGTAAAAATTTACTAGTTAGCCAAACTAACCAAGGGAAAGAGGGAACCACAGATGGATAAACAAGTAATCCAAGCATGATCACTGATGCCTCATTTCCTGGGAAATGAGATTAAAAGTTTGCATAAAGATTTCACTCCAACTCCTGCATTCCATATTGCCATGTTTCTGTCCAAGGCCCACTGACATCTTGGAAAGTCTTCCAAGTGCTTTCAGCAGAGATCAAGTCCTAAGCCTTTCTGCCCCTGTGCACTTCTAAAGGTTTCTCTTCAGATGTCAGCCTTGTTTCAAGTGTGATGGGTGCCAATGACCTGAAACATGGTCCCGAATGACGTACCAGCTTAACTTTAAACTTATGAGTAATTCCTTTTGTTCTAGTCTGACTTCTTACAGTCCAGAAGAAAAAAAATGTGCAAGTGGCTTGTTAGATTGAGATCTAAGCCAAGTTCTCTGAAAAGACACACTGAAAAGCCATAGACAAAAAAGTCACTTTAAGTATTTATACAATCTCTCCTTAGAAATGCCAGGAAATATTATCTTATGATACTGTGATATATCATGAGGACAGGGAAGTTAAGATACAAAACATGATTCAACATGAAGAAAGCTAATTTATGCACCAAGTTACTTTTTAGAGAATGTATTTTCTATTCAATTTCAATCAACTTGACTGAGCAGAGATCTAAAACATACTACACCAGAAGAGAGAAGCCAGGACCTGCTCTGTTTCTGAGGCTTCTTGAATTACATCTATTCACAATGTCACTCTTCCTGTATATTTACCATCTTTTATTTCAAAAACCATCAACATTAACTGATCAATGATTTACAGTTACCTTTACAAAGGCGTAGTAAAAAAAATAAATTATAAAAAAAAGAGAAAAAAATCAATCTGAAAGCCACTATTCAGATTTGTCTATACATAATCACAACATATGTAACCATGCAGAAGCGCCCAGTACACATAAAACCAAAAACTGATCAAAGTTTTTCAGTGATGAACTGGACTTCCAGATTTTTATGGTACATCATCCTCTAATTTCTATTTTTTCTAAGCAAAATAATATATATAAAACGTACAAAAGAATATGTTTCTCATTTCTAGCATGGAAAATAAGGAAACTATTACTCAAAAAAATTTTGAAAGAAACACAGCATGGATTTTTAGGGTTTGATCAGTTAATTTGTTTTGATTAGATAACTTCAGTACAAGATTTCATTATTCACATACCTGTTTTTGATGTGGTAATATATTGCAAGAGCTACACTGTAAAGAAAAATATAGAGTTAGTATCTCAGGACTGTCAAATTATATTACTTATATTAACAGGCAAATTTAAAACCCAGCACAATGCATGACAAAAATATGCTCAACAGCCTATTTTATTCAGTTCAGTGTCAGATACCAGGAAGACGGCTCTAAACAGACAATTCTAGAATATCTGTTCAGCACACTCCAAGTGCCTCTTTTTCACTAATAATCAAGTATCTTACAAAAATACTCATACTCCATATACCAAGTTGCACATACCTTCCATTTAATGCCCTACGCCACCAAAGTCAATGATAAGACTCCTATTGACTTCCGAGGTTGAAGATAAAGAATCACAGACATTGAACATTCCCTGTTATTGTTTGCTAATGCTTCCAGGCTAACATGAAATGTTTTATGATTTTATGTTTAAAAATGGCTTATGATTTTATGTTTAAAACCATTAACTTTTGGCTGTCTTTCTATGTAGCTACTCACATACCAGATTGAAATACCAGGCTTCTACAGTTTTATGGCATCAAGTTATTTACTTTAACTCAGGAAAGATGACTCCCTGAATAACTTACTGCATTATGCATTTTCCATGGTCTCAACCACTCACCAAAGTACCCGTTTATATACTGTGCAAAGACAAAAAGCGTCCTTACATTCACAGAAAGCTAAGATTTTAATGACATACACAACTAACTGATTTCATTAACATCTGAGACCAAAGAAAATTAAGACATGGCTTCTCATGGTTATTCTCCAGTTTCCAACTCACAACTCCAGTGTTATCAAAGGAAACACGCTCTACTCATGACTCCCTACTTGTTCCAGCAGCACAAAACCCAGTCAAAGCTAAAGTGGATGAAGGAGGGAGTTTCTGTTTGTTGACAATTTGTCTTGTCAGTGATTCACTATAAGATGCTTGTGACTTACACTGATGCAAAATTCCTTCCTTCTCCAATAAAAGGCCTTTTGAAAGAGTCAATGGATTGTTCTGTAATTTTATTCCAGAATTTTTACATGAAAACTGCTATACTGCGTATTAGGAAGATAATATGTTGGAGCTATGCCATTAGTAGAATTTTAACTTATTTCAGGTTTGTTTGTTTTTGCTTTATTTGAACAGCCGTGCAGTGGAAAATAGTTCTTCTTAGTTGAAAGTAAAAACATTTTTCTAACTCTGTATGAGCATTACAGCTTTTACCTGACTGCACTAGAAGTTTTTAGCTCATAAGTGCTTTTAAAATTTGATTTTTTTCTATAGATACATATTTAAGGAATTAAAAGATACTGTGTACCGTAGACATTTGAAGGGCACAGTCCTCACTGAACACAAAAAACACATTTATGAATGAAGTTAGCCTGACTGAAAGCTATTCACAAAATGAATTAGTCCTCAAATTTAATTTTAAATTATGCCCCAAGGAACACACTTGCAGCTCCAGTTCACTTTATGAAAGCAGATGCAAGAATCTATGTACAGAGCTCTCTGCTTGGTGCCCATATGGTTCTTTTTGTAACAAAATGTCAAATTATGTTCAGAAAGTATTTACTATTTACAAATCTGTATCAGAATCTGAAAGTCTTTTGGAGCTGTAATAGATTAACTCAGACTCAAGTTTCATTCTGCTTTTCATATGCTGGCTCAGCCAGCTCTTGGTATGCAGGAAGGAAGCTTAGGGAACTTTCCATCACCCTACCCCAGCCACCCCACTGATGCTGCAGATCTCCAGTATATGCACTAATATTTTAAATACACCAGTGTGTAAGGTGACCCAGAAGAAACAAATAAGACAGTCAAAATACATCCCTCATAGATTTACCTACACTAGCCATTTGTCAGCAGAGGCTGCCAAGGTGAGGGCAAGAAATGAAGTTTTACAAAAGCAATAATCCTGCAGTCTCTCTACCCTTCAATCTGTTAAATGTGCAGCCAGACAGCAGAGAAAAGACTCCTCACCCAGAGGCCTTATGTGCCAAAGTCCAGTTTCTCACCCCACATAGCCCTTTTCAAACCCCCTGACCCCTTGCCACACTGGCAGCTTGGCCCCAACCCTGCACAACTCCTTCCACCTAGACCCAGCAACAGCTCTTCCAGCCTGACACAGTCCCTCTCTTCCTTATGGCTCTCCCTCCTGCCTTACATCCCAAGTCTCTCCCAAACATCACCACTTTGCTCCCCAACCCCCAGCACTTCTTTCTAGCGCCTCTTCAACAAGGCTGCTGCTGACCACTGCGGCCTGCTGCAAAAGAGTCTGGGCTGCTGCAGCCAACTGAGCCCACCTCTTCTTTCCATAAGCAGTTTCAGTTCTGATTCAAAAAGGGGCCCAAAACCCAAAAGGCTGCACTTAAAAGAAATCTGCATGCAAAGCATTTTAGAGCAGTAAAGTATGGGATTCCAGAAGGAGAAAAAAGAATAAAAGAAAAAAAAAATCCTTTTTTTTCAGTGTTCATCTCAATTATTAAGTTACTAATTAAAGAAACTTGAAGTAAAGCAAGACTATTATTCAGGCAGAAAGAGCTGATGAGGGATTAGGTGTCAGTCTGACTGCAAATCCCTTCTCCATTCCCTTCTTCTTCCCTTAATCAGAAAAATTAAGAACATGTTTTAGTGACCACCAACACTATAAACCCCTTTGGACGTGTTATTCTGACTATATTTGTCTCTCATGCAAATATTTCTGTAGCAGAGATTTTATCTTAATAAATTTTTGCACTTGCGTACAGCAAGGTAATCATCCTATGAACAACTCAAGAGAGTGTATCAGCAATCATAATGAACAAATAGCATGAAATGCCTGAGCATTTGTTCTGTCATTTTTTCCCCTTACTGTACAAAGTGTGAAGAACAATCCTCTATAAATACCAATTTCATTTCTCTCCAAATGTAGAAAAGCACCAGTGAAACCTGAAATGATTGTTTGAGGCAACACCCAAGGGTAAGCCCATGTACGCACCACACACAAAGCTCCCCGCTGCTGTGTAATAAACTGCCAGTGCCCTTGTAGTCAATAAGGAAATGAATCTGCAGACAATTCATTTCCATTTCCAACAGAAAACAGGAAGGAAAGCTCAGCAAATGTTCATAAGCATCATCTCATGAACAGAAAAGAGGTCTTAAAATTCAGGTAAATCCAAAACTATGAATAAACAAGTACCCAAGTCAGTTTTGAGGACCCATCCAAAGCAAGTACCTGGTTGAATGTTGAAGCACAAGGATTTCAGCTGTTGGAATCTGAGAATCTTAATTGTTGCTTTCTGTTGAGATATGCAGTATTGGGAGTTTGACTCTGCACAGAGCTAAAATAAGAAAATAAGCTCTTGCTTATCCTATTCACTGCCTCTGCAGCATGATCAAATTACATAAATTTTCTCCTTCAAAAACTAAAACCTTTGAAGCTTGCTTAGTAATGGTTCAGAAATATGTATGCATAGATACACATATATAACACAGGCTCTAGCAAAACAAAAAATAGAGTTATAAAACCCACCATTTGATGGTATACTTGAGGTTTGGCTGACTGACTGTGCTGTCATCCAGGAAAATAGTGGAGCAGGAACTGTACTTCCTTCTCAACTGCCCAGGAGGATGCTATGAAAAACATGCAAAAGAACAATGGCAATTATGTAATACCAAAGCATTTTTCTGAGGAGATGTAAGAATTCAGAAAAAACAGACTTCTGTTTCTCTCAACGACGCACACAGTAATGTGATCATGTTCTGAAGCAGCTCAGAAAGTTCAGAAATAATTACCAGCGCAAAAGTCACAACAATCCCTGCCTGTGCCTTGACTAATGTTTTCCAGTCCCAATCTGCCCTCCACCCCTCCTTCCCCAAAACAATGCAAAAATTTTTGTGCAGAATTACTCAAATGCATACATATGTTTAGAAAGCAAAGATGAACAAGACCTATGGTTCTGTCCTCATTCCAAAAAAAGTAAGTGGAAGAGTGAAAAAGAAATCATGTTAACAACGAAGACAGATTTAGAAATAGATACAAAACCATGCTTGGAGAAAAGAGAATTAAAAAAAAAACCAAACCCAAATAAACCCCAACAAAATAAAGTAGGGGAAAGAGATCTTTACAGTAAGACTACTAAAACATCTAAAGTTTAAAAGGGAAAACTCAGAAAAAATAATTCATCAAGAATAGTTTGTTATTAGACACGAAGAAAATACATCAAAGTACGTAAGAGAAAGTGGATATACAAATAAAAAAGAAACACCTCTTAATAGAAAAAGTTTTCCACAGATTTAAACTGTATTTCTGCACTACCACATAAAAACATTGAAAAGCTCAGCCACAAAATGACATTTGACAACACTACTTATTTCTGAAGATATTTTGTTGAGAGAGCTTCTCCTTCAGCTCCTTGCTCCTTCAGAGCAGCCAACCAACCACCAGTCTAAAGAGAATAGTTTCTTCATATTAGCAATAGCCGTCACAGTCATTAATGCTCTTTGATTTTATCCTGGCTTATTTTACCTACGCTAGTGAATAGCTTGAACAAGAGCCTGTGTCAGGAAAGTTAAGACCAGTCAAAGTGCAACAAATTACATGTTTAAGTTACAACAGAATAGGTTTAAAATTCAGCTGGCACATTGACATGGAAATTTTATGTGCCTTACAATGAATGTTGTTTCTACTGTTTCAGTGGAGCCCAATGTCAATAACATCAGTGGAATCCACAGGCATTTACCAGCTCAGAGCAACTGAGTCTCCAGGCTACAGTCCTGCGACTCCTACCTCAGTACAATTTCCCCTAATTTACAGAACAGATATTATTAAAAGTGCCAGCACTCCCATCTTCTCACTAATGCTTAATTTTCCATAGGCAGCAGACTCCTTAGCAGCATTCATTAGACAGAGAACAGTAAAACCTACATGCATCTGAGTCATCTTTCTGTTTTTCCCAGCTATGAGTGAAGGAGCATGCAAAGTCTTCTGTCAACTGAAAAAAAAAATTAAATTGTTTTCTGAAACTATCACAATTGTAGAAACACCACATTCAAATTACGTGAAATCTCACCAACAGATTCTATCAAGGTCCCTCATTTGACCAATGGAATCACAGGCTGAACTGCTTTTCTTGGAAGTGAAAAGTTTAGTGGGAAAATTAAAATTCTCCCCTCTCAAAAATCCTCCAGGACTTTGGAAAGGTATTTCATGATACTAGGGAAGCTCACAATCCATCAACCTACCAAGCTATTATATGTAAAGCAAGGCATCAAACAAAACATTTAGAAGCACTGGAAGCATTCATAACAAAATGTACTATCTAGCATTGATGTATACAGAGAAAAGTACTAGGAGAGTGGTGACTTAATAGCTTTTGTTCTACCACAGCTGAGTTTGAATTTGTGGACTAGTCTGTTAAGTACCTTATGCAGGCATGATAAAGGCAAAGCAACTTAGAACAGCTGAAAATGAGACTTTAGTGGTTGAAAAAAAGGGGATGTCTAGATATTAAATTTAAAAAGGCATATGGAAAGTTTTAATTCTACATTTTAAGTATAAACATAGTTTAAAGGTTTACATAAAACAGAAGACAAATGGACTAGATTTGTTCAAGGCAAACATGAGTTAAAAAACAGAAAACAACTCTGTAGCAACACCATTGTCAGATTTAAATCTTCCTAGATAAACAGCATTTACATTTGACACATGCCAATAATTGCAGCCACACACCTTATTTCTGAAACTACCATATCACAGAACTCTCCACGGTTTTCAGCCCACATCACACTCTGTTAGGCTGAGAACTTTTCACACTTCAGAAAAATACGTGGTGTCTCATGCCTCACTTTCTGTTCACAACAACTTGGCAGGAAGGGGTACCTCTCCCAGTCTGAAGAATGGTGCCAAGTGTAAACCTACTATCTTGGATATATATACACATTTGTGCCATGTGAATAAGTAATCTATCCATAGATCAACATTCTTAGCATCTACTCTGATGTCCAAGTACAGCCATATGGTATGCCAGGTAAGAGGTTTTTTGCCTTTTCCAAATTACTGGAAAAGACCTTCAGCTTCATAGTCTAGCTTGACTGAGCTGGAAAAGAGCTAAGTCTCACAGTTCAGCCAAATATGCCTTTCTGAACCTCCACAAAATACTGCACAGGAACCTTCTCCATCCTTGCAAAGGACCAAATTGGTTTCTGAGCATCATCTCAGTATTCAGCACTGTCCTACAGAGAACCCCCCGTTCTGTGTCCATTTCAATGGGATAAGTCCACACCCAAAATTGTACAGGAGCTTAATGCCTTCACACTTCAAATTCATCAAGGCGGATCACAAAAATCTCCCATTTAGACAAGTCAGAGAGGATCTAAGAGAAAGATCGGAACAGCTGAGAAAGGTTTGGCTAATTTCTCAAGGCTCTATATTCTAATATTAATGGGAACCTTCTCAGGTTCTGTCCCACCATGAAGGCTGACATGGGGGATGAAAGGGCTGGTATAGCTCCTTTTGTAAACCTTCGTATGCAAATGTGACAGTGAGCATAGCGCATGTGTGGAGCCTTGACAATCTCTGCTATTAACAAATATTTACAAATTAAAAGTACCTAATTAATATGAAGTGGGATTCACTTTATGTGTGTATTTTAACTTGAAGTAGTAATATGTTTGTACCCAAGCTGAGATTCAGTAGACGTCACAATTCTCAACTTCAGCAAGAATCTTGACTTCATCTGTCACACAATTCCCGAAGGACAAAATTCATCAGAGGTTTGAAAAAACTCATCTAGAAGGAAAAAAATGAAAGACTGGAGTGGTCTTCTCCAGAACAATGCAACAGCAATGGCCTTAAGTTATGTTGAAGGGAATTGCAAAGAAGAGAATGCTGCTCTCCATGACCAGCGTGGATGGGATAAGAAAGAGCAGGCTTCTAGCAAACTAGGGAAAGTTAAGATTGGACCTGAAAGTGAGAGAGGAGGTGATGGCAAAAATAATCCAACCCAGCCATCACCTTTTTCTAACAGCAGGGATAGCTTGAGTGACTTGAGCAATGATATAATCTCCATCACTGAAAGTTGTAAAGAAAAGGTAAAACAAACATATACCAGGAATAGTGTAGATGCAGGATTCTGCTCTCAGGAAAGAAACCACACTGACTGACCTCTTGAGATGAATTCTGGACCAATTTTCTATCATTTTATGATTTCTTTTAGAGGGATGATTTGTAGCTCTTTATTTCAGAAGCAGCTATTTTTCTCATTTCAAAGACAGACATTCATTAAGAAATGCTGACAGTATAGGTTACAATGAGTACATAACAGCTGTTTTGTGAAATTTCTTTCTTTACAGGAAAAGATGTTATAATGGAAAAAATTGCTTTATAACTTGGTAAGCTTTTACACGTCTTAGAGAACAAACCCTGAGAGATCAAGATTCAGTGTACTTGTGTTAATGCCAGGTGTTTCTAGCTCTTAAAAACAGCAGTTTTCCCCTCTTGCACCAGTGCTAAGGAAATATCACTGCTTTATTTTTCTCCCAGCTTCAACCTGAAACTCACCAACTTTCCAAACCATGTTTCTTTCAAGATGCACAAACAACAGGCTTTACTTGAAGTTTACATAAAATACATCTTTTCAGAAGTAGAATGGCTTAGTTTGCCATCAAAATTGTGCAAGCTCTGCAGAACTCCTTCCGTATACCTGCTATGATATGAAAGGAATCACACGAAATTCCTAACTAATTGGCAATGAGAATGAACAAGAGGATGAGTTTCTCTCAGCATTCATTTTAGCATCACTCAGAAATTAAAACTAAATTTGTGGGGAAAGGGGAAGTGTTACTGTTTCTTTTGTTAAATTTGTCATTCTAGGGTGGTTTGGGGTAGAAACATCTAACAGATGAGTGAGTGCATATTGACCAAACCCCATACTCAGAACTGACTAGAAAAGGACCAGCCAGCTCTGCCCTGGAAGCTCTTTAGCAACACTAGTATGGCACTATGCCTTGAGGCTCAGCAGGATGTGTTCATCGGGCACAACACTTCCCTAATGAAGCTATACAGCGTTTGTACCAGAGCTGGCTGTCAGCCAGTCAGCTTCCAGTCTGGCAGAGAAGCTTCTGCCTTTTTCAGTCTTCTTTTGCACTTGCCCCATCAAAAGATAATTTGCAGCTTCTGTCCTAAATAAGGACAGTATTGTCTCTTCTTCCATCAAACCAGGTGTACGTTATTGCATGATTTTAAGAGGTACTGTTAAATAGTATTTCACCCCACGGAAAGATTGAGGCCTGCTTGCACCCATCTGTGGAGACATGCCCATTAGCTTCCAGGCAGTTAGAAGCTAGCCAAAATCCTAATAGGCAAAACTGGAATGCAAAAGTACACATGAATCCAAATTTCAACAACAAGCAATATACCAGGACTGCTTCTGACTTGGAACAGGGAGGTTCCTATCTTGGGGATGGATCTTCTATTGCTTCAGGACATGATTTAATTCTGACGTTTTTCACAGAAGAAACATGACTTTACAGGTCACCAAAGTGCTTCCAAAATCAAGCAAGCCATGCACACAATTCTCTGCATGGCTCTGCAAAGCTCTGCATTTATTTCCATCTTGCATAATTTGATACTA